TAGGATTATCAGTCTTTCATATGGAGGTCCAGGAGTATTCTGTAGACTTTTGTTATAAGAACCTTGCCTGAGATGGTATTTCCAAATGTTTGTTCCCAGTCAGTATGTCTTCTTTTCAGTGTGTTAGAAAAAGTTTTAGATCAGCACAGAGATTTAATATTCAGAAGATCCAATTCATCAATTTTATCCTCTTCCTATTGTGCAATTCTGGCTGTATTTGGCAGTCTCTCTATATACCATAGACTAGGCCTTCTAAGCTTGATCTCAATTTTTCTCTTATGTACTTTATGGTTTGGGCTTTACTCCCAGATCTCTGATCCACTTTGAGATGATTTTTGTGGATGGTGTGAGATGTGAATCCTGTTTCAGCTTTCTGCAGTCCAGTTTTGCCAACCCCATTTGTTGAAGAGGTTGTCATTATCCCATTTGTAAAGTCCATCTTGATGCAGCTGATCAGCTGCAGCTGTGATAGTGAGTACGCCGGGGTGCCTGAACAGGGGAGTTGGGGAAAAAACTCTTGGCATTTATAAAGCTAAGTTGAGCCTGAGTGGAGGTTATAGTTGTGGCCACCTCAGACTCCACCTGTGTCTAGGAAATACTGAGTCTCCGTTATTGGCTCTCCCTATTTCTAGGAGCTTCTTGACATATGCTATCCTTCAAGTAGAGCTCAGAGGTGCCAGACTTGTTCATGTCTGGACCCCTCCCAGTATAACTAAACATATTTTAAAAAGCAAAGATTATTGAGCATACGAACGACTGCCAAAGAAGAAATAAGTCTGCCTTGGAAGAATTGCAGCCAGAATGAAGACATTTTGATGGCCAACAGACACATGATGAAACACACCAAATCCCTGGCAATTAGAGAGATGCAAATCAAATCTAGAATGAAGTAGCATCTTACTCCAGTAGGAGCAAGCAATAAATGTTGGAGAGGATACAAAGAGATTGGAACTTTCATGTGCTGCTTGAGGGATTGTAAAATAGAACAACCACTTTGGAAGGCAAATAATCTGAGCATAGTAATCTAACAAGATAGATTTAGCTATTTATTTCACAGATGAGCCCTAGTGGCCCAGTGGCAAGAAGCTGTGCTAAAATCCTAAAGGCACAGAGTTCAAATCCATCAGCTGCTTCCCAAAACAAAGATGGATAACCTCCTCACATGTGATTTAGGATTTCTGAAAACCACCTGGAGGGTCAGTAATTGGTTGGTTCTGACTTGAAGCTACATAACAAAGACAACGACAAAATTCCATTACTAGGAATATACCCTGGGGGAAATATTGAACTGAGACACAGAGATTTGTAAATCTTTGTTCATAGCAGCGTTATTCACAATAGCAAGAATATGGAAACAGATCAACTGTCTATCAACAAACAGAGTGAGAACTTGTCATATATTCATAAAATGGAATACTACACAGTACTAAGGGATAACAATTTTGTAAAATGCTATATAATAGTAGAGACCCACTCTTCTCATGAGACCCACTCTTCTCACAAGACCGCTCTTGGAGAACCTTACATTCGCTCTGCTGCAAGACAACAAGGCTTGTGTGGCATGGCTGGTTCAGGAGTATCTTCCAGCCACTGCTTCCCCAGCATCTACTAGAGGCAGCATCCAAGCCCAGGCATACTCACACCCTGACCAGTGTCAGGACCAAGCCCTGCTAGCTTGAGGGTCACAGTTTTAGAGGCAATCCCACCCAAAGCACTAGTCCATCACACCCACTGCCTGAATACCCCACTGTGCCACAGCCTGGAGACCGCCAAGCTGCCGCCTCTGCTGTCCAGCACCAGGAGCACCAATATCACAGGTATTTGGTGAAACACTGCTCTCTAGCTATGTCACGTGGGCTTTCTTAAGTTCAAGCAGAAGAGGCCAGGTGGAGGTGAGGTTTCAGAAAGGCAAGAGTAATCCCAATCTGTTGTGGAATGTTGGGGAGGAAGGGAGGGTCTCTGGCCAGGACAGATCGCCCAAGTTCCAGATAAGTGCAAGCCTCTTGATGGCCTTTAATAAGTGATAGGGAAAGCTCTCCGGTGTTTGGCTGTACCAGTTTGAGAATGTTCGCCACCTGGGAAGACAGCTGCTGCGTTTTTTGAGCTGGAAGTGGTCCGCATGAAGCTGAAGTTCTCGTAACCAATCCACATGTCCCACATGTGTAAGCACACCCTATCCTGCCATCCTGTGTATATAAGTGCACTGCTAATCCTAATAAAATTGAGCTGGACTGACTCTCTGATCCTCTCCCAGAGTGGTTTCTCTCTGTCCTGCTTACCCCCATGAGGGTGTCACTGTAGGTTGCCAGCAAACAGACATCGATATATGGTGCCCATGACAGGGACGGACATGATGTAGAATTGGGGGAGTACCCACTGTGCTCTCTGCCATCAAGTTTTCCGGTGAGTACTCTCTGTACTCACTTCCATCAAGTTTTAGGGTGAAGACCCTTTGTGGTCACTCCTGTCAGGTATTGGGGGAGCACCCCTTTCCATGCTCACTCCCATCAGGGAAGACCTGATGCAACTTTCTGGGCCTGACCCGACCTGATGTAGTTTTGGTGGCCTGACATAGTAGGCTTAAAATTTGACGTAGGTGGAAGGGAAGAGAACCCTTAACACATGCCTTATTTGACTCTAAGTTCTTAATGTACAGTGTGGATAAAGAAAGAGCTTTAAGATCTCAGAATCAATGAATAGCTTTTCAGCTGCCTGGATATATTCTTTACTTATGACCACTGTAGTGTCTGCTGTGGGGATGAAGAAGTACAGTTTGGTGAGTCTATCTGGAGATGTAGATTAGGACTTCTCCACGTCTTCTCCTCTCTTCCTCTCTCTGACTCCACTGATAGGACACCAGGAACCACAGGTCCTGCCTAACCTGAACCACATGTGGGTAGAGGAAGAGTAAATAGCAGAGAGCCCAGGAGGCGGTAGGTGGAGCTGTGATCCTGGATAAGATCTGGGGATTGCTACATTGTGGAAAGCACCTTCTCTCCGTGCTCTACGCTGTCATTCCACTCTATAGCTAAAATTAGAGCTAAGGCCACTTAGCTCTAAGAAGAAGACCTATATGTGAACAAGGCTGAGGCCATGCTGATTATAAAAGGTCTTTTGGTTGAATCCATCTTGGCCAAGTGAATTACTTGTGATTTTAGGTACCATCATCTACTGCTTCAATCCCAGACTTATTGAATGATACTGGAGTCACTGATGGGATCAATTGTACTGGTAAGAACATCAATCATCATTTTGTTAGTCATTTGTGTTTTAAAGTTGTGTAGAACATATTAATAGACACTGTCCACATTATTGTGTTTCCATCCATATAGAAGGAGCTTTGTCCTTTCCATTCACCAGAGTGTCATTTGAGATCTGAAGAATCTGCACCACACACTGACGTGCCCAAATCACTGTGGGGAAAATTTCCTATAACATCATTCTTGTCTCAACCTCTTCAGAGGCTCTTCTCAAGACTTTTCTACCACACATGGATAACAAGAGAGCTCATAGAATAATGTGTCTCTTTCCAAAACACGGTGTTTTGATTTGTCCTGCACTTTATAGCTGTTGCCTTAGATTCTTGAAATAATGAATACCTGTCATGGATTCCACTGACAATCTCATAGATATACCTTTGGAAGGAAGAGCTAAGTTGATGAGGGTTTGCTCACTGGGGCCTAAGGGATAGCATGATGAGCAAAATAAACTGAATCCAATTCCCAGGGATACCATGCTTGAGGGCAGAGACACTACTGCATCCCCCAAGATTTAATGTATGTGATCCCATAGATGACAGTGGACACCAGCATCCTTCTGTGCTGTACCCCGCAGCTCTCATCTCTGAGACTCTGAGATTGGGAGACAATAAAGCAGAGACAATCTGTAGCTCTGCCCTTCCTGTGCAGACTAAGTGAGACTCCTGGTTCAGGACCTGAAGATGGGGAGGTGCCCAGGTGATAAATGACTTCATGAGTAGAAAAGACAGTCAATTTCCTTTTTCTATATAAAACTAATGGAGTCAGTTGGTGTAGTGTAGGAAGCCATCCTGAGCAGGTCTTAGCTCTGCTCTGCCATGCACAACTCTATTTTGTCTGTGGACCTCATTCCCTATATTCACTTCTGACATGCAGTGGGCAGAGCTCAGCCTGAGGCCACCCTGCCCATCTCTGGGAATATGTTTACCCCACTAAATCAGTACCTGTAATTCAATGCCTTGGGGCATGCCCTTCCCTCTCTATTGTAAACTGACAGCCTAGGGCTGGGTTTCCTGGCAGCCTGGCCTACACAAGTTGTCTAAATTGGGGCTTGATCAGATAATTTTGTCTTGCCTCCAATTTTTAGCTCTTTTGTCCCTCCCTCATACCGCACTTCCCTCTCCTTAGGACACGTGAACCCACAGGTTGGGTCAGTGTAGCCCTTAAGAATTATACTGGTAACCCAAATGTGGACCCTCCCAGGTAGTTTGAATTCACCAGCTACTCTGGGAGAGGAAGATGGGTCATCTCCTCTTTTTAATTTATGGCCCCGAAAACTTACTCAAAGATCAGCCATGTGTCAAGTTCAACTTAAGGATGATAAGACTGGATCCACTAAACTAAGAAGTTTCTTGCCATTGTTGTTGTTTACCACTTACTTGGAACCAAGCCATAGTTGACCATCTAGTGGGTTTTCAGAGGTAGATAATCACAAAGGAAGAGATTACCCATCTTCTTCCCAAAACAAAGTATAGCACTGTTTATTCACTCATCCAAATTAGAATCAGTTTGTTACACGATCTTTCTTTTTAACACACTAGAAATATAGTTGATAAGATATTATGACAATTCTAACTCTGAAAATTCTTTCAAGGCATCCCTTCCTCCTCTTTTGCAAATATTTCCTTCAAGAAAATATCCCGCTTTCTTTGGAAGTGCACCTTGCCTTCTATGTCTAGGCCTCAGGCAGCAGAGGGCGCTGTGTCCTATCCCTGAGTGTCTGTGTCCTTTTGCTGCTGAAAGCCACCCACCAGCCTCTCTTCTGATGCCTTCTGCCTGATACTCCCTAAGTTTCAGATTTGTGACATCACAGGCCTCTTGGAACCACAGATCACCTCTAACTCCAAGCCCAACCCCTCCCTGGATAAGTTTTCTGTGGTGATGTTTTAGCATATGAAGGGAGGTCATTGTTTTGCATAAAGAGGCCTCCTCTCTGCTATTGGGGGAAATAAGAGGACCTTGGGGAGCTCAGGCCCAGCTGTGGTTTACAGAATGATGAGTCTTGTGGGTTCTAACAATATGGCCTGGGATTCTCTCCTTCTCACCCTCCTTATTCACTGCTCAGGTGTGTGCAGTCCAGCAACTAGAGCAGGGGATGGAAAGACCAGAGAACTGTCTTTTACTCTGAATCTACCTCTCTCACCTCGTGTCTCTCTTGACTTTCAGGGTCTTTGGCTCAGTCTGTCCTCACTCAGCCATCTGCAGTGTCCAAGTCTGTTGGGGAGACAGTCACAATCTCCTGCACTGGAAGCAGCACTAATGTTGGACGTGGATATCCAGACTGGTTACAGCAGCTCTCTGGTAGTGTTCCAAGAACACTTATCTATGATGCTGATAAGAGACCATCCGGGATCCCAGAACGATTCTCAGGCTCCAGGTCAGGGAACACAGCCTACCTGAGCATCTCTGGGCTCCAGTCTGAGGACGAGGCTTATTATTACTGTGCAGCCTGGGACAACAACATTAATGCTCACACAGTGCTGCAGGCCAGTGGGGAAGTGAGACAAAAACATTCTGCACACAACAGTGGGTCTTCTCTGTGCATCCTCAGTCAGGACACCTGTTCCCCCTTGTTTGACTTAAAGCAAACATTCAAGATATTCTCAAGAAATATATTTCTTTTACCATATTCCACCTGCAAATCATATCCTTTTCAACAACATGTGGTCTGGTATTTTGAAATGGAAAGAGAATCCTGTAACCTAGGATTTGACTTCTCAAGGAAATCTACAACATAATAAGGTGAAAGTCAAGAACACACAGTTCAACTGTGTGTCACTTCAAAAAATCAACTATTTCAGAGGTCCATCCAATCATATCACTCAGTGATTCTCAAATATATGGTTATCAATACTTTAGATACTCAAATCCAGTGCATATAAGGAGAGGAGGAAAAACATCTTAGACTTCACAATGGAATGAAAGGAGTAAGAAGGGAGAAAATATATAAAATGTACAAACACCAATAAAAATGAGAATAGGACATTATGGTAATATTTTGTTTTAGGTGCCATTGAGTTTGAGTGTGGTGCATAGCAACCCTATGGACAACATATCTGAACCCTGTCCTATTTTGTGCCATACTCACACTTTCTGTCACATTAGAGCCCATTGCAGCAGTAATTGTGTCCTGCCATCTGGTTAATGATCTTCCTCTAATTTGCTGACCCCCATCCTTCCTGGATGTCAGGTCCTTCTCCAAGGAACAAATCCTCCTAACTACATATCCAATATAAAAGCATGTTTATCCTAGCAACATACCTGAAGCATGTGCATTGCCATAGGCATGATTATCATGTCAGGAGGAAGTTTCCTAATCCATCCCGTGAATTTCTAGCACAGAAGATATTTTGATAACTTAGCTCCCATCTTTAAGAATGATCTATGCTCCTGTGATCTCTTCTAGCACAGCTGATGTCTGCATTTCCATTGCCCTCATAGTAAATGGTCCTCTGTGTTGTAAAATGTTTTTACAGGCAACAATAAATGTGTGATTTTAGGCATGGTCTTGTGTAGTTGCCATCACTCAATAATCTCTTAATGAATATTTAGATTCTAGAATGTGATTGATGTCTTCAGGTACAATCAGAATGCAATCCCCATTTAATGCTTCATCTCTATAAGCATTCTTGTAAAAAAAAAAAAAAATAAAATGTGAGCTACATTCCCAAAGCAAGACACTGATTTTCCCTAGAATAAAAAAAAAAACCAACAACTTGATTCTGAAATCTTGGGATCACACATGTTCACTTGGGCCTCACCGAACTTCCATACTCTACCCAAATCTTCTCCTGCCCAGGATGGTCTGGTTACATGTGCTTCTTTTGTGTTTTGAAATCCAACTTAACATTTTCGTAGGCAGGACTGTACAAATGTCCTGTCATAGTGCATTCCTGATACTTGATGGAGGATTGTCAGTGTCCTCTACAGAGTGAAGTTTTGCATGTGCAGGAAAAAACCTGGTACAATCACTTCCTCTGTTCAAATCATGTGTGGACCCTAGAACAAAAGGTAACTATCTCCCCTGAAGGGCTATCATTTCTGGAAATTTGGAGTGTTCAACAAAGATGGAATGAGGAATCACTTATTCATAGGGGGTGGAATGCCCACCACCAACCCTCCACCTGCCAACTGCCATGTTGGCCTGTTTCCATTTACAGGTGGAAAAGTGATTTATGTCCCATCCCTTTGTCAGCTCTGCAGACAGAGCAGGGCCCAACCAGAGAGACACTCCTCTGCCTTGGATGGTGGAATGCCTACCACCACCCTCCGCTTCCTGCACAGCATATTGACTTGTGTTCTTTCAAAGAAAAGAGAGTGATTTATGTGCCCCTGTCAGCAACCAGAGAGAAGAGGTAAAAAAAAATTAAAACAGATTACCAATATGCAAAATCCTGTCAATATATCACCAGCAGCTGGTACAAGAATGATGTCCCATAGGTACAAGGTTCAAATCCACCAGATGCTCTGCTGAAGACCGAGGGACAATCTCCTCCTGTACCAGTCAGATCCGATTTGAAGGTACACACATAAAAAATAATGAAATTTTTAAAAAATTTAAAAAAAGAATTATGTTAATGATGAGACTGAATTGTCTCATAGAGTAGATAAGAGAGGGACTTTTGCCTTGAACAATACTGTCTAGCTACATCACATGGCATTTCTTAAACTCCAGTGGAATAGTTCAGGTGGAGCCATGGCTCTTGAGGGCAAGAATCATCCCTCTTCAGGAAGACAAGAGGGAAGCTCCAATAAACAGTTTCTTCACAAAACATTGCCATACCCTGGGTGATTATTATATAGTTATAACAACCTAACATCTACTAAGAAAAGACTCACATAATGTGAAGAAAGCAGCAGTTTGCCTCTGTCATCATAAAAAACAAAATAATGCTTCTCTTCAAAAAAACCAACCCAATGAATACTGGAGATAGAGAAAACCAGAAGAAATATGTTGACATGAAGTTGTGTGACAGTTATAGATGAAGATGTAAATGATTTAAGAAACAAGGGAAGACATTAAAACAGCAAATATCCTGGAGACAGTGATCCACAAGAAATATTTTGATAAGGAGCAACTTGAACAGCTACAGTAAAAAGCAAAAAAAGTTGGAAGAAAAATTGATAATATAGATAAAGAGGTACAAAAACTTAAAAAAATCATCACAAGACAGAGAGGGAACAGCAAACACAGTACTGGAAATAAGAGAAATGCATGAAAATGATATCCAGAATATTAAGACAGAAATGGCAGAAGTGTCCAACTTGCTGGTGGGACAAAAACGTAGAATTGAAGAGATGGAACAAAGAGTCAGTGAGCTGGAATACAAGAGTGTCACTGGAAACAAACTAGCAGAAAAATCACAGATGAGATGTAAAGAAAACATAACGATCATGTGGGATGTCATCAAAAGGTAGATGTATTATTGGAATTCCAAAGCCCAGGAGTGACAAGGAAAAGAAAATAATGGAAAAAGTACTAGAAGAAAACCTCCCAGGAATTATGAAGAATTGGGGAAACCACATTCAAGAAGCAGTGAACACCACATACACTAGACCCAAAAAGAAAAATATCAAGATATAGCATGATCAAACTCTCCAAGATAAAAGAGAATTAAAAGAATACTAAAAGCAGTGTGACAAAAACAAAGAGTCACCTACAAAAGGGAAACTATTAGACTAAGTAGTGATTTCTCAGCATGAGAAACCATGAGAGGTAGAATATGATGACAATAGAGGAAGTTGAAAGAAAACAATTTCCAGCCACGGATCCTTCGCCCAGCGAAGCTCTCCATCAAATATAAAAGAGAAATTAGATCCTTTGAAAAAATGAGGGAACTTAAGCTATTTGTGAAAACAAGACCAAAACTACAAGAAATTTTAAGTGAAGTCCTTGAAAAGATGTCAAAGGAAAGTAGATGGATCACAGAAACCAGAAACAACAGATAAAAAAACAAAGGAAAATGGCAACAGTAGGACCTGGCCTCACAATAACCACACTTAATCGAATGGGCAAAATGCATCAATTAAGAGAAAAAGAGTAACAGGATGGATAAAAACACAAAGCCCATAGATATGTTGCCTATAAGAGACACATCTAACAAATGGAGAGAAAGGTAGACTCATAATCAAATGCTGGGGGAAAAAACATAGAAAGCAAATGACAACCTCAAAAAAGGAGGAATGGTAATACTAATAATCTCTGATAAAATAGACATCAGAAAAAAAACAACCCTAAAAGATAAGGAAGGACATTACATACTGATTAAAGGCACAGTAGATTAAGAAGACATAAAAATAGTCAACATTTACGCAAAATCATGTTGTTGTTGTTATTTTTGTTGTTTTTGTTATGTGCTGTCAAGTCACCTGTGACCCATAGTGACTTCATGTACAACAGCTCTAAACCCTGCCTTGTCCACAACCAGTCTCACTAATTTTGACACACCAACCCCCATTACCACAGTTACTGTATCAATCCATCTCACCCAGAGTCTTCCTTTCCTGCGCTGTCACTCCACCCTTCCAAGCAGGATGTCCTTCTCCAAGGACATAGCCTCTCCTGACCATATGTCCAAAGTATGTGGGACAGAGCTTCAAAATGCTAACCTTCAAGGAGAAACTTTGTTTCACACCCTCAAGACAGACTTATTTGTTTCCTTGAGGTCCATGGTGTGTTCAAGACCCTTCTCCAGCACCATTTGAAGGAATTGATTCTTTTTTTCTGTCATCTTTAGTCATTGTCCAGCTCTTTGACGCATAGCCAAGTAATTGCCAAGACCATGGCCTGGATTAGGCACATCTTAGTCTCTAGACTGACATCGTTGCTTTTCAGGACTCTGGAGAAGCCCCTGATAGCAGATTTTCCTAACACAATTCATCTTTTGATTACCTGACTGCTGGTGTTAAGTGTGTTGGTTATGGAGCAGCACAAGCTATAATAGTTAACAACTTTAATGTTTTCTCTACCTATCATGGTGAAGCCAATTGGCTCAGTGGGGAGAATCTTGGTCTTCTTGATGTTGTGTTCCAATCCATATTGAAGACTACAGTCTTTGACCTTCTACAGCAAGTGCTTCAGGTCTTCTTCAGTTTCAGCAAGCAAAGTTGGGTCATCTGCATAATATAGGTTGTTGATGAGTTTTCCACCAATCCTGTTGCCACTTCCTCCTCATAAAGCCCTCCTTTCTGAATGAGCCGTTCTGCATATAGACTGAAAAGACAGGATATATTACTGACACATTTCTTTCCTAATTTTGAACCATGCAGGGTTACCCTGCTCTGTTCTGAGGACAACTTTCCTGGCCCAAGCACATATTTTTCATATGCACAATCAAGTGTTCTGATATTCACATTTTCCTCAAGGTTAACTACAATTTGTTGTGATCCTCACAGTCAAATGCTTTTGCATAGTCAATGAGACACAGATAGACATTCCTCTGGTACTCTTTGCTTTCTGCCAAGATCCATCTGACATTGGCAATAATGTCTCTAGTGCCATGGGCTTTTCAAAAACTGGTTTGTATTTCTGGTAGTTCTCTGTTAATGCACTCTTCCAGTCATTTCTGGATAATCTTCACTAAGATTTACCTAGTGCATGATATTAGTGGTAGTGTTTGATATGTACACACTCTGTCAGGTCACTTTTTTTAAAAAATGGGAATAAATATGGGTATCTTCCAGTCAGGTGGACAAATAGCTATCTTCCAGACTTCTTGGCAAAATTTACTGAGTACAT